GCCCCCCACCACATACATTTAGTGGAAACTACCGTTTGAGCCTTTTTCTTCTGTGAGCCTGCAAAGACCTCAGACAGGCCTCCAGATCCCCAGGACCCCTGTTGGAACCCCCCGATGATGGAACCTGAGGGGCCTGTTCCTACAGCCCCCATGGGATGCCAGCCAAACTGCCACGCAGCAATCTTGGCCCATCTTCCAGAGCTAAGCAGGAAGTCACATACCCAAACACCCTTCCCCAGCTCCCCAGGGGGAAATACCAAGGATATAGACTGTGCCAGCTGGGCCTCCAGCAAGCCAGCTCTGTCACCTGTGCAATATCTGGAGTGTGACCCCACAATTTGCCTGGGGCGCTGGCCACACTCCCCAAACTTTCCACATGGCCTAGCCATTTCCTGTTGTTCTGAGAAGCTCTGACCTGAAACTAGAAGGGAGTTGGAGGTTGCCTAGGGCAGTCCATGTCAAGGAACCAAAGTGGGAAAGGCAGACCAGAGAGAGTATGTGGCCTGCGGGGGACCATCCAGCTAGGCAGGGCGAGGGCAGGCTCGTGATTCTCCCAGGGTTATTATGAGAGTTCATCTCGAGGGCAGAATAAGGCACATAGCATCATTCCTGGCACATAGTAGGTGCTCAAGAAATGGCCAAACCCCATCCCCAAGCTCCTTAAAGGCAAATTCATAACCTTCTTCTTGCCATCTCCCTCCATAGTCTAACACCCATGAGATACACACAGCAGGTGCTTCATAAAGACTTAAGTGGGGAGAAATGCTGAGTTCCGGGTTTACCAGAAGAAGGTTTAGCATCAGGCTGACCTGGGATTGAACCCTGGCACCTGCACTTCCAAACCAAGTGTTCTTGGGCAAGTGAGTTACTCTCTCAGTGCCTCAGTTTCCTTATCCGTAAAGTGGGGATACTGATAGCATCCACCTCTAGAATGAGCATGAGGCTGGAAAAGAAATAAGTGCCAGGTGTTTAGCACAGCCTGGAATACTGCAAGCACTCAATAAATGTCATGGCCATTGTGGGATGTCCTGTGCCTGATACTGAGCCCCATTTGGTGGCTTAGCTCTGAGGCTAGGTCCTGGAGACATTGCCCAGGTGGAATGCCGGTCCAGCCCCAGATTACAGGTATGGACGAAGGCCCACACTTCAGTGGCCAGGGCAGTTCCAGATCGCTGAGCTGGGGGAATCTGAGGATTTTCATCCTGGCTGAGAAATCTGATGGAGAGCTTCCAAGGTCAGGGCTCCGGCCTTCCCAATGGGCCCTCTGTCCAGGACAGGCTGAGTCTTCGCTTGATCTAAGATGCTGGGCCCGGGGCCCAGGGAGGGCTCACAGACATGGAGGAGAGAGGGCTCCTCATCCCAGAAGAGGGATCAGGACTGGGCATGGTGGGGTGTCCTGGAGCCTGCTCCCATCAGCACTGGAGAGCCGACTGCGCTCATAACTTTCCAACTCCATGTTTAGCCACATCACATGGGAACTTGAAATTGACTAGGGTAGGATTTACAGTATAGAAACTGGCAAAAGCTACATTTATTTCTGAGAGCCAGTTTCCCAATACACTACTGGGCACAGGAATCCCTAGTCACATAGCTCTCTAGATACCGTTCCTGAATTCAACACCCTTAAGACTTTTCTCATATCCTCCCAATCTGCTCCCCCAACACACACTGCCTTTGTTTGATCAGTCATTTCTCTCAAGAAGGCCTTTACAGGACCAGGCATGGTGGCTCACCCCTGTAATCCCAACACTTTGGGAGGCTGAGATGGGAGGATCGCTGAGGCAAGGAGTTTGAGACCAGCCTGAGCAACACAGCAAGACCTCATTGCTACAGAAAATTTTAAAATTAACGAGGTGTGATGGCTTGCACCTGTAGTCCCAGCTACTCAGGAGGCTGAGGCAGAAGGATGGCTTGAGACCAGGAGTTCAAGGCTGTAGTAGGTTATGATAGTGTCACTGCACTCTAGCCTGGGCAATATAGCAAGACCCTCTCTCTTAAAAAATAAGTAAATGGGCTGGGCATGGTGGCTCACACTTGTAATCCTAGCATTTTGGGAGGCTGAGGCAGGAGGATCACTTGAGCTCAGGAGTTTGAGACCAGCCTGGGCAGCATAGTGAGGCCTCGTCTCTATTATATAATTCTTTATAATTAAATAAGTAAATAAGGCTGGGCGTGGTGGCTCATACCTGTAATCCCAGCATTTTGGGAGGCGGAGAGGGGCAGATCACTTGAGCTCAGGAGTTAGAGACTAGCCTGGGCAACATGACGAAACCCCATCTCTACTAAAAATATAAAAATTAGCCAGGCATGGTGACATGTATCTGTAATCCCAGCTACTTGGAAGGCTAAGGCACAAGAATTACTTGAACCTAGGAGACGTAGGTTGCAGTGAGCCGATATTGCACCAGTGCACTCCAGCCTGGGTGACAGAGCAAGACTCTGTCTCAAAAACAAATAAATAAATAAGCAAAAGTCCTCCCAATAGGTTAATAAAGATTATAAGAGATGGTGGTGGGGGGAAGTAAAGCACAGATATCAATGTAAATGAATACTGCATGGCTCTTTCAAAAATGTTCTGAAGGAAGATTTAATAACAGGAAAATACTGAAAAAGCATAAATGGTGAGGAAAAGGTATATACAACCATATACACAGTGTGAGTCTGAGGCCATAAAATATTCTATGTATGTATTTATAAGATCTTTTGTTGAACAAACATGTATTGAGTGCCTACTATGTACTAGATGGTAGGGATATAGCGAGGTGCAAGTGAGGGATAAGACGGCCCCGTGCCGCTCTCCTGGGGCTCTCAGTAA